ACAGACAGACAGACAGACAGACAGACAGACAGACAGACAGACAGACAGACAGACATATCTATTATATCGTGTATGTAGACCCATATATTATCGTATTTATTTATACTTTATGTATGATAAATACCATTATGACAGTCCGACTGAAAAGTTGTTTGTTTCCTCAACTCTTTTGTTTTCTAACCATCTAGGTACGGGACCTGGCTCTGTCGGGGTTTGGGCATCGGATACACACGAGTACCACTAAAATTACTCACTCCAGTCTCCCAGAGAAGAATACATCTGTTGCTAGGGAAGGCTTTAAGTAAGTTACAGTTCATCGAATGGGCGATTGGCAGGTGCTGTGGTGTGGTTTCCTCCTCTTCTCCTTCTTTCCTATCAAACATCTATCGACCCTATCCTTCCTCCTTCTTTTTTGTGTTTTTTTAACTCTCTTGTAACGCCTCTAATCTTCGGCAATTATATGACCTAATTATGTTGCAAGTGCCGTAAAATGCATACTAAAACAACAGTTCATCGTTAAAATGGCTTTTATTCCGATTGTTTTTAACTAGAGTTTTACAGCACTTGCAATACTATTATGTCATATAAGTGCCGATGATGATTAGATGTATTAGAAGAGAGTAACAAATAGAAAAAAGGAGGAGATATGAGGACGATATATATTTTATTGGAAAGAAGTAAACCACACCAGAGCACCCCACCCTGTGAGTGTTTAATGTAGCGGAAAGAAAACTTCCCAAAGTCATGTTATTTGCTGACTTAGACCAAAAGGATTGTTATGTTTGTTTGTTTGTTCGTTTGTTTGTTTGTTTGTCTGGGCCAATTACAACCACTATTCAATAAAGATTAGGAAGTGGGGGCTGTATACTGTTACAAATATCTTGGAGTAACCATCGACAACACGCTAGAGTGCCACTCCCACTCTGCTCTTGTGATAAAAAAAAATTCAATAAAAGAATGTTCTTTTTAAGAGTGTGGGGGGGGGGGGGTTACACCTGAAGGCTATCTCGCTATTGATGAACTATAAAAAGTATCACACTTAGAAAAAGGATAATAAGCAACATTTTAAACGACCTGTCACACCTCATTCTACACAATTTGGAAATTGTAAGATCTGGCTCCAGCAGATACATGTACATACCTCTAAAAACCAACTATAAAAGATATAAACCAAACTTTCTGCTATCTCTAACAAAAAGGATGTTGAAATAAACATTAATGGGTTTTTTTAACATTTTGTTTTCTTATTCATGCACATCATGTATTATTCAAATTTATCCGTATAACATTCGAGGTCTGTGATATATTCCTGCGTGTAGTTTGAAATTTTGAAAGATGCTTCTGATATGATATGGCTTACAGTTGTCAAGCTTATTTGTTTTCTTCATATCGAATGTTTACGACAGTTATGATATAATGTTATGATTTCATTTTTATTTTTATATTTACTTGTGATTTTACCATTCCTGAAAAGCTACAGAAAAATTTCCTTTTAGGACAATATGTTATCATCTTATCTAATCTTACATTCCGTCTCGAGACTTACGCACCATTAATTAAGAAAAGATCTCTTAAGACTGCGCTTTAGGTTTTTTATCTTAATTTGGAGATGTAGGGCCTTTCCGACAGCTGCTCTCGAGTTTAAGCCCATGTTCACCGCATAACTGATGTGGGAACTGTCACTTTTGGGTTTGTTTCGCTTTGTTTTGCTTTTGTTTCTGATTTGTTTTTTGTACCTTGTGTTGTACTTTTTATCATTTATTACGCCAATATCGACCTGCGCTCCGCATGAACATAATACAACGTCCGCCCCTATCAGCCTGTCGACTCTGCAATAAAGAAATGGACAACAAATAGGCGGGCAACGAAGCATGGGATCTAATTTTTTAACACTTTATATGGATCTAAACTGCTGGCTAAAATGAAACAAATTTGTTTTTTTTAAAGTTGGAAAACTAGTTTGTAAATGTTCCTGTATGGTCTAAATTATATTGATGGTGGCATAAAATATTAATATTAGTCTACAATAAAACAGCTGGTAGAAGAAGAAGAAGAAGAAGAAGAAGAAGAAGAAGAAGAAGAAGAAGAAGAAGACGATGCGGAGGAAAAGGAAGAGGGGATAGGAGGAGGAGAAGTATTTGTATTGTGCAAATTCCCGCTCAGCAGCAAGCTCTATGCTCATTATAATAGTGTTTATCACCCCAGCAGACACTAGGATAATCAAAAACATTCTCTGCTTCCTGAAAAGCATACAATGCAGGCAAATGATTAAGCGGCCAAACACTAAAACTGACAAGATTTCTTGCTGCTGTAGCCTGGTGAAGTGAGAAAAATTCATGTAAAGTGCCTTTCCCAAGGACGCAACTTCGGACCCCTGATGGGATTTAAGCCCACGACCTTACGGCTGCGAGTCCGAGAGCCTACCCACTAGGCCACCGACGCCTGTATTGTTTATTAACTGAGCCTTTTTATCAGTAGCATTAGCTAGCAAGTGAGGATGGTGGGGAGGTGGATGGGGGGTTGTGAACTGTTCTTTGTTCAAAAATGTCTGGCCTTTTCTGGTGTTCCATCATGTGTAAGAGACATGGCTGGGGGTTACTGGCAACCGTGATAAGAATAGAGCTGGAATGATGGATAATTTTCCCTCATGGTGAGAAGTAGAAAAAAACGTTTCAGACGTGGTACTTTAGTTAAAGTAAAAGTAACACTACAGTAAGGAGAGCAGCTATTAGGTATTTAATCTTATTGTCTAGAATCTACATGAAAGTTATCAACATACCTAATTTGTTTTTTAGGAAAGACATAGGGGAGGAAGAGCAGAGAAAGACAAAAGAACAACCTAGGCAGATGGCTTGAACATCTTTGTGACAAACAACACAATGAGAAAAACCGAGATGATCAGGAAGAATGGCAATACGTTACCCTAGAATTACAACGTTGTATCTGCTTAGAACCTAGTTTTGAGAAATTCAAGGTTTTAAAAAATGGAGTTTAGCATGTCAAGTTCTTTAAATATCGGATAACGACTCCGAATAGTCTTACTATTTTGATAGAGCAGGTAGAAGTTTTGAGCTTCACTACATGTCAAGTTGTTTTTTTCCGAATGCATTACTTTGAATATCGTGATAAGGACTCCGAATAATCTTACGATATTGATCGGGCAGAGAGAAGATTTGGTTTCTGACCTCATGGTCCGTAACCCAAAACGGCTAAAATTGTCGGATAGAGCTTTGTAATTCTGAAGCAGCATTGGTATACCATGATCGTCAATGTCTGTTCTACACCTAACACCTGAGGGAGAACACAAGTCTTTCTAAGAGACAGAGCAACATAACCATGGAAGGAAATGGGGAAGTAACGTATCTCGCCAAAACAACATGCAAAAAAAACCTAACAAATTTAAGAACTAAACTTCTCCGCAAACCGCCATGCCTTTACCGGCCTCGGTAGTCTTGCGCTAAGGCTACGGGACTCGTTGTCTTGAGGTTGCACGTTCGGAGCGAGCCTCAGGGCCCGACGTTGTGTCCTTGGGAAAGGCAGTTTACACAATTTGCCTCACTTCACCTTGGTGGGAATGGGTACCCAGCCATAGACAGCGAAAGATCTTGTCAGTATGTTGTTTGTATTTTAGCGCCTATAAAACGGCAGCTTACACTCTATACTTCACAGCAGGTTGAGATTGTTTCAGAATGTTTCAGGTCGGGTAACAATATTTTTTTTATTTATTCTTGTAAAGCGCATAGAGCTTGTTGTTGAGCGGGAATTTCCTCTATACAAATTGCTATCTACTACTATTACAATCTGTGGTGTGTCGCTGTTTGGTGCTTGGCCGTTGCAACTGAACACCAGACCACAAATCCTGTTGTGTAAGATCGTTGACAAGACGTGGATTTGATTACCTTAATTTGAGAATCTGTATGGAGTATCTCCATTTTTCTGCGAGGATGTTGTATCGCCGTTTTTTTCCTGCAGGGACTTTTTATGCTTCTCTCAGCCCATGTCATATTTGACAGACAGGTTTATAGTTACCCGCCTACTGAAGCATACAAATCGTGTTGCTGGGGTATAAAACGCCCTCACGTTTCTTTTTTAAAACAGCAAATAAAGACTTGTTTCTACACCATGCATGTTAACGTGCCCATAAAGAGAAGAAACTACTAGTCTACGTAAATTTTGGGTTTTTACAGTATGAAGTCTAAGACGTAACTATAGTGTATAGTATTATTATTGCTGAATTCATCGACAGGGCCTACGTTTTAGCGTTGCTCGTCCATATACGTATCCGCCTCCAGCAACGAGATGTTGCGATAATGTCAAAAAAAAACGGTACCCTTACCTGTCGATATTTTCCCCCCGACATTTTTCCAGACCCTTGTAAGAAAAAAAACATCTACGCTGGTGTCATCGGCGCCCAGATATCAGGACAACAGCAACAACACGCGGACGAAAGAAATATACAGGGCAATTTCCTTAAAACGAGAGGCTCTTATTAAGTCCTGCAGTGACCTCTGGCAAAAATAAGGACCGGTCACTTCTCTGGGCTGCGGGCCTACAAAAATAGAATAGACAAAACATCGGACCCAATATGTCCATTGTGGAGCGAGGAACCCCAAGATTTGGAGCACTGGCTGCAGAGATGCCCCGCCACGGAGGTCCGGCGGTGGCATCTCTTCGGGGAGGATTCAGGGGGGTTGGACTGCCTCACCAGCTACCCGAGGGAGGCAGTGGCCCTGGCGAAGAGCATGCTCTTCGGGGCTCCAAACATTTCGAAGGGATAGGCTACCACAAACACACACAGCAACAACAGACGTATCAGATCACATGAGAGTCCAGTTACAGGTCTAAATTCAAAACTTAACGTTATATTCTAATCTTTATGCCTATATTAAAATTTAACCCCCAAAAATGATGATGACATAATAATAACAATCATCATCATCATCATCATCATCATCATCATCATCATCATCATCATCATCATCATCATCATCAGAAGGAAATGAAGGAATATAAGGAAATGGGGCAGCAGACCAAGCTGCTAATGAAGCCAGAGAGATCGAAGGAGACAGACGACCAACGACATACAGAGGTGTATTTCCAATAATCAAGAGAGAAATCAGAGACCCACCATGTAGAATTTAGTACCAGCACCTGGAAGATGTGTATTCTGGGTACTCCTATAAGTGGGGGAAAAAATCTATCACATGTCGCTGGGACCAGGTTGGGCTAGCGAGACTGCGGTCGGACCATCTTTGGAGTTTAAGATGGTATAAGAACTTTGTAAATGAAGAGCTCAGCCCATGTTGCCGAAGATGCGGCCATGAAAAGGATACCAAACATATGTTTGAATGTCCAGGAACAATGGCAATTCGAATGGAGTTATTTGGACGAGTGGAGGTGCCGCTAAGCATATTGACAATGGAGCCGAAAAAGAGCCTCGCTCTCTCTCGAAGATTTCTTCATGAAGTCCGTCAGGCCCATCATAGTAATAATAATTATTATTATTTTTATTATAGTAATAAGAGTAATAATAATAATAATAATAATAATAATAATAATAATAATAATAATAATAATAATAATAATAATGATAATCTAAACAAAATGTGGCCTTCTTCTATCAAAGCGCCACCACGCAATAAGCTCAAGTCTTCAAAGTTTAACTTCAACCAGTCAAAAGGAAAGCTGCCGTCGGGTGATAACACCCTCTACCCCTTCCCTCTTCCTTACCAAGGGAATTGACATGGTATTAACTATCGTCCTTTTTCCTCTATTTTTTAAATATTTTTTTGTGTGTTTGTCATACTCTTGTGACCAGCTATTTCTGGGGTTCCTTGGTAGTCGAAGCAGACTATGTGCTGTTGAAGGTAAAGAGGTGAGCAGAGTAAGTCCGATTCCATGTAATGACTTCTCTGTTGACATCCACCCCTTTGCGCTCATATGACCTTATGCAGTTGGGAGCGCCGTAAAACCTATACTAAAACTAAACTAACTTTTTGACGACTTACCGTGCACATGATAATATGTCCGATCAGCAGCAGACCAAAGTCACTGTTCCGGGATATTGGGAACCCCCATACACAGACCAGAATCCAAAAAGATATAGAACACATGTTGTTGCCTGGCTTTTTAAGTTTCAGATAAAGAAAACAGAACTGGAAAATATGCATGAACAATGAAGTTCTGTCACAAAACAGCAAGTCTTCAAATAATGTCGAATTTCCAGAATGCACGTTTTCAGTGAGTTAAGAATTAGATGCAGCGTGTAGCCCATAACGAGTCTTTTCATTCTACTCCGCAGACTGGCCCTTATGGAACAGCTCCTCTTGTCTACGTCATGCCAGGTGCTGGTGATCAGCAAAAGTGGCTTGAGCTTGCGGGCCGCAATGGTGCGACGGGCGCTGCAGGGGGAGGGGGGCCTTTATTTGTTTCATGATGGTGCCGTGTCAGCATGGAGTTCTTACCATTTGTTTTGAAGCTTTCAGAAAGTCCCGTAGAATGACATTATCTAAAGTACAATTTGTTTATTTGTTTATTTGTTTGTTTGTTTGTTTGTTTGAGTGACAATCTTACTTAGAGAAGCACCCCAACAAAATAATGGTCATTTAGTGGTGCGAAAAAGTAAGACTGACAGATAGAAACAACAGAAGGAATGTGAAGAAATAGTAAGACTTGCCAGGGTAGCCTACAACCACCTGCTTAAAAGTACAAGTACAATCCGCCTCCTAATTTATCTAAAGAGTGTAGAAAATTTAGAAGATGGGATAATTGTCATTGAATCATAGTATTGATTTAACGCCCCTTTCAACGCAATATTTAAGAGGTGGGACTTCCGAATTTGATATCCGGGGCCTCCGAATTTAACAACATCCATCTCCGACAGAACAAAGCCAAATCACTACCCGAGAATTACAAAGTTTATTCTGTTCAGTAGGCCTACCTTGTTTTGAGAAACTCGATGTTAAAAAATCATGAGTTTCACAACATGTCAAGCTTTTTCAAATGCAATCCCATGAATATCTTGATAACGACTCCGAATAATATTACGATTTTTATAGAGAAGATACATCATTTGGCTTCTGACCTAATGTTCATAGTAACTCAAAACCGCCAAAAATGTTTTGACAAAACTTTTGTAATTCTAAGGTAGCACAATGGGAGGTGAGCGTTAAAAACTCGAAATACAATGTACTTACTTTACTTTTTTCTTCCGCTTGTACGGGGGGGGGGGGGGGTGTCACGGGGAGACACAGGCGTCTGTCTGCAGCAAGGCGAGTGGCCTGTAGGAGGGACATTCCGTGAGCTCTGAGGGTGTCTGCCACAGATTCACTCCATCGTCACCTTGGTCTTCCTCTGGCTCTCCATCCAGAATATTTAATGTTGTATGCTCTCAGAGCTAGATGGTTTGAGGGCATCCGCGTGAGGTGTCCGAACCACTTGACCTTTTGTTTTTCAATGTGTGGTAGGACTGGTGTTGCTCCTGCGGTGTCCCTTATGACTTCATTTTTAATTTTGTCTCTTCTTGTTTTGTTGACCGCTCTTCATAAGCATTTCATCTCGCATGTGACCAGTTTCCTCTCTAGAACTTTTGTTAGGGACCATGTCTGGCACTGATATGTGAGGGTTGGAAGGAAAATGGCGTTGATGAGGTTCGCCTTGGTGCTCATGGGGATATTGGGATGTTTCAGGAGAGGGCCGAATTGATAGCTGACTGCGTTGGCTCTCTGGCATCTAGTCTCTATTTCTAGATCTAATTTTCCATTTTCGGTGAAAATGCTGCCCAAGTATTTGAATTCTCTGAAATAAACTCCCCAAAACAACCCAAGTTTAGAAAGCTCCGTTCGTCCTTCAAAGATGTCCTCCTAGCCTACTATTTACATTTTCAAAAAACAACCGAAGCATTTCTTATGCACAAATGCATAGCCTACCTGTCATAATGATGAACTGTTATACGTGCATGTGTATGCCCGACTGTGAGACTGAAGACATAGCGTGTGAGAGAGAGAAAGAGAGAGAGAGAGAGGGAGAGAGAGAGAGAGAGAGAGAGAGAGAGAGAGAGAGAGAGAGAGACAGAGACAGAGACAGAGACAGAGACAGAGACAGAGAGACAGAGAGACAGAGAGAGAGACAGAGAGAGAGACAGAGAGAGAGACAGAGAGAGAGAGACATAGATGGGGGGGGGGGGGGGCAGAGAGAGAGAACAGAAAGGTTTTTCTATTTATAGAGAACAAATGTTTCAATGAATGTTTCTAGCTATTCAAGTTTCAATTTTATTGCGACTGTTCTTGAATTAATGTTGCATTGTACATTTTTAGTGACCGCATTGCCAAGTTCACTGCATGACCATTTTTTCTCAAGGAAATTTTTATACGACTTGTACATATTAATTATCAGGATACGGTGTTTTGCGTGACTATTTCTTCTCATAGAAATGTTCATACTTATACATATCACGATACAGTGTTTTAAGTCGGCCTACACACATTATGTCAATTAATTTTAAAGATGTGGCATCTTTTTTAATACAATGCGCACTGGACATTATTTTTAGTAAATGGAAATGTGCAGCATAAATGCTAGTTATTATTATTATGTGAGACTATGTGAGGCTTTGGGTGTGTGTGGGTTGTTGTTGTTGTTGTTGTTGTATTGTCGTTGTTGTTGTTATTGTTGTTAAAGTTAAAGTTAAAATAAATGGTCTCACAATGTGTTTTTTTATCCAATTTTCATTATTGTTATTATTATTATTATTATTATTATTATTATCATTATTATTATTATTATGTTGTTGTTGTTAGCCTATTATTATTGTTATTGTTATTATTGTTGTTGTTGTTGTTATTAACATTATCATTACTATTATATCATCATCATCATCATCATCATCATCATCATCACCATCATCATCATCATCATCATCATTATAATTATTATCGTTTCCTTGAACAGTCAATGCAAATATCTCTAGTGGCTGAGTGGAAAGTGGGCTCCAACTCACAAAACTGCCAAACATATATATGTCAACAACATCATGCTCAGGAAGGTAGCCACTGGGATGTGTGCTTGTTGAGCAAGACGTGACGATTGTGTCTCAAAAGCAGGCACTTCAAAGTGGCGACCAGCTCGCCAAAACTTTTTTTTTTCATAGAGTTATGAGTGTTCTTTTTACATTCATTTTACAAATATTATCGTTGCCATAGTTTCGATCTTCCGGGATTTTTTTTAAACAATTGCCATATTAAAAGAATTGTAGAAATTGTCCATCAGCGACTTGACTATTTCACTGGTTATGAGATAGAGGGACAGTTGGAAGGAGAGACAGGCGGGAAGGAAGCGCAGACTGCCTCAAAAGTGTGTCGAATATATGAATGGGGAGAGGGATGGATTGGGTAGCGATATCAAACAAATCAACTTTTGGTCAGAAAGGCAAGTCTATTTCATTTTGTAAAACAACAGTATATTTCACAGAAACCCTTTACTTTGTGAAAGTGAAAGGCACACATTTTTATTAAAAATGTCAGATCTCAAATTTCATTGTGATGCAGTGATCAAGGCAAGACAACATATTCTCAAATACAGAACTCCTTTACATACCTTTCAAATACTACTGTTAAAAACATTAAGCAAAAGTAGTATGTATCCAAGAAGTCAAACACTCGAACGCCGCATAGACCACGAGGTACAAAACATGATGTAAAAGTCAAAGACCACAATGAAAACAAAATTTTAAGACACTTGAACTTGAACGTAGGCTAAGATTGCACACAAAGCACATCACTCGCTAGAAAAGGCATTCTCAACCATTTGCATGCTTTCCTGCAGGTCGCTACCTAAAAATTACAAAGTTCTATATTATGTGCTCAGTAGGCCTACCTAGTTTTGACAAATTCGTCGTCAAAGATTTTGAGTTTCACATCATGTCAATGCAGTTCTTCGGATGTCTTGATAGCGACTCGGAATAATCTTACGATTTTGATAGAGCAGATGGAGGCCCATTTGATTTCTGACCTCATGGTCTGAGTAACTCAAAACAGCCAAACAATGTCGGATAGAACTTTGTAATTCTGAGGTAGCGAGGTGTCACAACAGGTACTGAAGGGAACATTTAGCTCCTTTCCTCAAATACACAATCTTTACAGTTTGTAATCAAGAATATCGTCCAAAACGCCCTTTTCTTTAAACTAGAGGTGCAACTTTGAGTAAGGCATCAGAGTAAGGGGACATTTTGCGAGGTTTCTTTTCTGCTGAGGGGTCACTCATCATACCAAGTGATCATTGGTGTAAGTCAAACAGGTACAGTTTGGGTAAAAGTTTTACGGTACTTGCAACACAAATAGGTCATATAACTTTCTTTTAAAATAAAGGCTCAAGATAAGAGTTACAAGATAGTAGCATACAAAGAAAATAAAGAAGAAAGAAAGAAAGATCAGGACGATATATTATGTTTCATAGGATAGAAGGAGCAAACCACTTGAGAGCACACGCCAACCACCCACAAGTCAAATAGAAAAAAGTGGAACATGTAGGCTACTGTTAGTGCAGCATTTCTTTCTCCTGAAATAACACATGACAAAATGATTGTAGCACACTACTACTGACGAAAGCCTTGCACTTCTTTAGTAACAAGTTTTAGAAACATTAACTTTGTGTCTATGCCACATTCATTTGGCCACATGCTACTTATAATATAACATAATATATATATAATAAGAGCGAGAGAGAGAGAGAGAGAGAGAGAGAGAGGGGGGGGGTGAGAGGAAGAGAGAGAGCCTTAGTGAAAGCTTTTATAACACCAACATGAGTTGTCCATAGCTAAAATTGAAAGCATGGAAACAGGTAACCCTACTAATTGCTTCATATGCCAGTGCATCTTCTTTGAACAAACTTTATTTGTAATATATTCAGTCCTGATTCCCTGAAAAACTTCCAAACTTTGAACGCTTAACTAATGAATATACAAACTAAAAACTGCAGACTGTAGTATTTCCCTAGTCACCACAAAAAATATAATTTCTTTTTTTAAATGGGGGAAGACGGAAAACACCCTGATCAAGTTACAAAAAATAGCATAACATGTTCACGGTCGTTCTGGGGTTTTGTTGTGTGTCATGGAAGTACTCAAGCCATCCGTAGTAGTTACACAGTGAAACAAAATGATGGATACACAAAACCAGACAAAGTGAACGACACAGATGATCCCAGGTAATACCCAAAATAATGCAGTGTCACTGTACTATGATATGAATATTCTCACAAACAAACAATCTTACCTGATAAACTAGTCTAATCTAAAACCTTGATGAAAAAAAAAGGCAACATTGCTTTCATATTTTTATCTATTAAACAATCGAAACATTAAAGTATAGAGCAATCAACTGTAAAGACAGATAACACTAAATAAAAGCGATGACTTGCATCATAACAAAAACACTTTGATAACTGCAAAACATGTACAAAATAAAGCAGTCTTTATTTCCACCTAATATTATGATAAGTAAACTGATGATAGTATG